CTGCTTGAAAGTTTCTATGGTAAAGTTTAACGATGGTAATAAGCCTAATTATGTTAGATTTAAAATATTTATGTTCCTCCCCACTCACTACCTGAGTCTGGTTAAAAAGATAGAAGCAACTTAATCATCACTATAACCAACGTATAAACTATGTGATGCCAGGGGCTGCTTTATTCACTCCTGCAGACACAACACCTAGCCCTGAGGAATCCATCTTACCGACGGTTACCTGCTTACCTACTTATCAGAGGTGTTCATGAAGCTGGTACTTGTAGAATTAAATATTCTATAATATCTGAGAACCTCCATTTTCTTCCACTTTTATTATCGTTTTGGGGGCCAAACGAAATTAGAGAACTTGAACCCCTCAGGTAAGAAACAGCCACCAGAGGGAAACAGAGAAGCAAGTTTCCGTTGGCTCAAAACATTCCCAAACCTGGGCGCCAAGGCTGACCGTGACGTTGCAGGACAGGGCCTGTGAACTCAACAGTTCCCCTCGTCACAGCAGTTTAGTTAATTTTGAAAGTGATGATGAAGGCGCCTTTAGAAAAAAAAATGGCCAAAATTGAAACTTCAAATATTGATCACAGGATCTACCTATGCTACCTAGCTGTTCTAGCAGCAAAAGTCTGAAAACACCCCACTTTTAATCAGGAAGGCAAACATTCCCACATGTATGAAATCACACCAGCCTATTTTTCATAATATAAGTCACAAGAGAATACCAGCTAGAACAATGAAGCAGCTTCTTTGATATTAGATACGTGTGTTGGGCAGGGGGTGGGATTTGGGGAGATGTGTTCTAGAAGGCACTGCCAGTTCTATTTAGAGTTAATAAAGCTTACCGGGACCCTGGGTCTCATGCAGCATGCAGCAAACAGCAGAGTTAACTGTAAAACAGTAAAAGCTGATGAAGATGGAGTGAGCTTGGGGAGAAATCAAATATTATGAATCAAACATAATATTATGTTGACACAAACAATGAAGAGTTAGAGGTCAAAGGAGATTAGGAGGAGTGGGGAGGGGAAGAAGGAAGGGTGTGCTGGTAGGGACCCCCGAAACACCGGTACTCTTTCTTAACCTCTTTAAGGGCAGCCAAAGGAAGTTCTCAGTATGTGATTCTATTAGATCCAATCACCATCTCTCAAGAAGAAATGCTTCTACCCCTACTTCCGTCCTCAAGCCCCGCCCCCCCATCATCACCACGGGACAAGAGTGACACAGGTCTAATGATGGGTCTTCCAGAGGTTAGCCAACTGTTCAGGGAATTACATAAAGAGCCCACACCTGGGGCCACTTATATATCTGGAAATATGGAAGAGGACAGGCTGTTTTGTCAGGCTCTCTTGTTAATAGGAGATGCCTCGTGCCGGTGAGGTTTTCACTCATCTCAAAATTGGAAAAGGGTGCCATCACCGACTCCAAATATTCCTGGAGACAGGAGAGACATGTCTCCCTTATTGGGGTCCTCTGCCTGGGGGTGGGGTGGCAGCCAGTTAATTGAGGGCAACGAGGAGAAAGCCTGGTCTGGGAGGAACTTCCACTGAACAGCTCAATAGGGACTATTTATAGTTGAGTGTCAGTGGGGGTCCCAACAAATGAATCTCCTAATTCCTGCCAGCAGGCTGTGAAACTGCCCCAGGGACTGAGTTAACAAACACCACCGGACTATGAAGGCCGGAAGACAAATTTAGACTTTTCTGATCTTAAAAATAGGAATCCATTCCCGCCAGTGCAACTAACACAAGTCAGTTAATATACAGTGCGCCCAAAGAGGCTCTTTTCGGGCTACCTGAACTTTATCTATCAGGTAATACACAAAAAGTTAGTCTGTGACTTTGACATAGAGTGTGATTCAGTAACAAAAAATCTCTGGACTAACTGGTGAAAATACCCAAATTACACTTTTGAAAAAAGAATATTCAGATGGCAAAACTGAGTGCCTTTAAATATATTTTACTGTTATATTTTATTGTTGGTGAAATGTTATACTGTTTTATCCTTAAGTGATAAGCCAGGCACAGAGGAAAGGATGTTTCCGCCTTCTGGCAAATATCCAACAGTTGAGTCCCGCAACAAGTGGCTAAGAACAGAAGGCAATGACCAGGGACATGTTTCAGATCCTCGGGCCGCTTTAGTAAGGACACTGCTTGACACTGCAAATGAGGGCTCCTCCAGTCACACTGCACAAAGAACTAGAGCGCAAGGGACCACCGGATGTTTTCCTGGTGTTGTACAGGTCCCGTCGGAAATGCTTTTCTCTTCTCTGGTTCTGGGATAAGGGATGGATAACTTCAGCAAGCGAGGCCTGGGCTTGGGTCAGGGATACTGACCCACATGGTAACCAAGAGCTCATGCTATCCTGCCTCACCAAACGCCAGGGGAGACAGATGGATTGTACAGTCACCCCCGGCATGGAGGGTGGTGCCCGCGGAGGATACTAGCATCTGAGGGTTCCCCACCAAGTCCCCGGTACCCCAGGCTGGGAACAACCAAGCAGCCAAGAGGGAGGGACGGGAAGGGGTGAGAAATCAGGACCAGGTTGCAGCCTTCAGTGGCAGCACTTGAACTCTGTTGGCCGCAGCCGTGAGAACTGAGGGGGGCGGCGAGGGGGTCTCCAGGCATGGAGAGGTGAACCACCTTAGACCTAGGACAAGCGAGCAGAGGCCTGTGAGCTGGACCGGCTCCAACCTCCCGGGGGAAAGAGGGTGCCCAGAGGCTCCTGCTACCCTCTCTCTGCGCTTCTTTCTGTTCATCTCTTTCCTGTAACTTCGCAGCTTCTCGTTGTTTCCTCCCTTCTTTCTGTCTCACATTCCTTTTGCTTTTCCTCCCCCTTTCCCTCCCTCTCCTCCTACCTTGAGTTTGCAGGGTTTTCCCAAGCGGGCCGAGCAGAGGGGCTGGGCCTCTGGGGCCACACACCACCCTCCCCTACTCTCAGCTCCCCAAACTCAGGGAATCCGAAGGTCCAGCGGGGACACCGAGATCAGCCCACAGCTGGCCTCGGTCGCCGCCCTGAGGCGATGAGCAGGAGGGGAGAGAGGCCCTCGCCCCAGAGCAGCCCGCTACTTACTTCTTCTTCTCTTTGTCTCTTTTCAGAGTCTGGGAGCCTCCAGCCTGGGAGCCCTGGGACTGGAGCAGCTCAGCTGCCGTCTTTCTCTGTTTGAAAGCGCTCACTTCATCATCCAGGGATTTCTTCTTATCCTCCAACTTCTTCTTCTCGTCCTGGTGTAGTTTCTTCAGACGGTCAAACTTCTCATGCAGCTGGCAGGGAAGCACAGGAAATTTGGGGAGACCCCGCTGTGAGCAGATCCCAGCTGAGCCCGGGGGTGGGGTGGGGGGGGGGTGGGCAGGCTTGCGACCCTCAGGACCCTGGGGCCTGACGAGACATTTCTGCCAGGGACGGCTATGATGGCACCAAAGGGCACCATGTTCTGTATAGTTCCCTTCTGCCATTTCACCTCTGTGTTTCTGCTGCGGAATATGGTCAGGGAACCGTGCATTCTGCTTAATCAAGCATTTTATTTAAAAGAGTCACCATAGTTACTACATATGGATAAAAATAACATCAATGATAATACAGAACATTTATTGAGTGCTTATTATAGGCCAGGCACTGACTTTTATAAGCACTTTATATGTATTAACTCATTTAATCATCACAACAACCCTATGAGGTAGATTCTGTTATTGTCTGCATTTTATAAGGAAATAGAAGGTATGAGAAGTTAAGGAATTTGCCCAAGGTCAACTCATTCTTTTTATTTATTTATTTATTTTTGGCTGCATTGGGTCTTCCTTGCTGCGTGCAGGCTTTCTCTAGTTGCGGTGAGCGGGGGCTATTCTTCGCTACAGTGCGCGGGCTTCTCCTTGCGGTGGCTTCTCTTGCTGCGGAGCACGGGCTCTAGGTGCGCGGGCTCAGTAGTTGTGGCTCGCGGGCTGTAGAGCGCAGGCTCAGTGGTTGTGGCACACGGGCTTAGTTACTCTGTGGCATGTGGGATCTTCCCGGACCAAGGATGGAACCCGTGTCCCCTGCCCTGCGTCGGCAGGCGGATTCTTAACCACTGTGCCACCAGGGAAGTCCTTCAACTCATTCTTTAGATGATTATATAATGACATCTCTCTCAATATGAAAGGGGCCCCTGCCTTTTCTTATTCCCTCCAATCAGGGAGATCATGGGGAGTTGCAGAGAAAATTTCAGCAGTGCCGAAGCTGGTCAAAGAAAAGACTTGTTCTTGGGCACAGAAGGAGATAAAAGAATTTTAGAAAATGCGATGATTGCGGAAACCTCAGCTTTGATCAAGGGGAGGCTTCACTAGCCCTGAATAGAGCCAGAGACCCAAAGGAGAAGAGCAAGAATATTCTGGCATGCCACTGTGATAAGTGGATCAGGGAGCTAGGGGTGTAGGTGGTAACAAACTAGAATGTGATAAACTACCCTGAATAGTAAGAGCAGCCCAAGCACCATTTCACTTTCTTTTGAGGATTCAGGAGGGAATGGAGGGTTCTGCAGCACTCACAGTACACTTGAAGGAGGTCAGGTGTCCTACAGGTATCTGGGACTGTCACTGAGTAAGGGGTGGTGGATGACAGACCTGCTGTGTAAACCAGCTTTTGCTAGTCACTTGGGGCAGGCTGGTGGTGGAAGCTCTGCTGATCAGTTGCTTTCACCTGGCTCTTGTTCACTGGCCTTTCATTCATTTTCTTTATTGTTGAGATCCCCTCACCTGTCTTCCTAAGAGTACTGGGTGATATTATTCTTTTGAAAAGTGAAACTGAAATGAAGTCAATTCTCTTGCCATGGGCTTTGGCAATAACACCGGACAGCAGATTAAAAGAGGAAGAGGCTTGGGAAGTAATTAAGCGCTTCCTTTCTTTATGAGTTTCGAGGCCCAGAGAGCTGAAGCAGTTGCTGACGTGACCAAAACTGTGGCTGAGGCCAATTAATCTGGCAGCAGTAGGGGAATCGGCAGTGGGACCTTGGAGGCAAGGCAATGGTTAGAGGGCTAAACGCACTCTACTCTATTAGTCACGGCTTAAGTAATGAAAACTCCAGATAGACCATCAAGCCTTAGTTTTAAAACTTGCTAGAGGGGCTTCCCTGGTGGCGCAGTGGTTGAGAGCCCGCCTGCCGATGCAGGGGACACGGGTTCGTGCCCCGGTCCGGGAAGATCCCACATGCCGCAGAGCGGCTGGGCCCGTGAGCCGTGGCCGCTGAGCCTGCGCGTCCGGAGCCTGTGCTCCGCAACGGGAGAGGCCACAACAGTGAGAGGCCCGCGTACCGCAAAAAAAATAAAAAAAAAAAAACAAACTTGCTAGAGCCGCACAAATGTTTCTTTAACGCTAGCATGAAAGGGAATAGAATATTCAAGTGGATGGGGAAATGCAGCAGCTGTTACTGATTTAGGATTCAGCCAGGTACCTAGGACTCCCTGGGACCATCTTTCCTCATGGCCCTCAGGGAAAGCAGGATGGAGCAGGACTGCGAAGAAAGTGATCAACTGTCCCTACTGGGCTCCGAACTCCCAGAAAGTGGGGGCGGGGGGCGGGGAATATCAGCCCGTCCCTGACCTCGAGGGGCTACGTCAGGTCTTGACTCTTTTTTTTTTTTTTTGCAGTGCCCGGGCCTCTCACTCCTGTGGCCTCTCCCATTGCGGAGCACAGGCTCCGGACGCGCAGGCTCAGCGGCCATGGCTCACGGGCCGAGCCGCTCCATGGCATGTGGGATCTTTCCAGACTGGGGCCCGAACCCGCGTCCCCTGCATCAACAGAAGGACTCTCAACCACTGCGCCACCAGGGAAGCCCAGGTCTTGACTCTTGAGTGGCGCTGCGCAACAGAACTTTCTGTGGCATGAGGGTTGAGCATTTGAAATGTGGCTAATGCAACTTATAAACTGAGTTTTAAACTGTACTTAATTTCAATTCATTTAAATTTAAATAGCTACATGGGCTAGCAGCTACCATATAGGACAGTGCGGCTCTAGTGAACTAAGTAACAGAGAATGAGAAAACATCCTGGCCTTGGGGAATGAGGGATGGAGAAGACACAGATCTCACAGCCTCCTCTGTGCCAGCCAAGGCACGGCGACAGATGCTGCGCCCCATTCCTGCCCGGAGGCTGCAAGACTCCCCCAGCTGCTCTCTTGGGGCAGGAACCCCTGTCTTGCCCAAGTTCAGCCTCCTTCTCCTTCCCACCTGGCATGCAGGCTCACATTTACCTCCTTTTCTGCCTCTTTAAGTTCAGCTTCTTTCTCTTTGACTCTCTGGACGAACATTTGTCTCATCTCCTCTTCTTTTTTCTGGAGCTCCCCTAGGAACTCATTCCTTTTGGCCTCATACGTCTCCTGTAAGCTGTGAACATGGTCAGGTTAATTCCCCTGCCTTTGGAATGGCTCCTGTTCTCTGAAAACTGGCCCCAGTGATCCTCCCTGGGTTCTCCCACCCTCTCTTCCTCAATTCTGTGGGACATGCAAAAGCAGAAGCACAAAGCTGTGGGCACCTGGATTGGCACGTGACAGCAGGGTCACAGGGTGCTGCGGGGTTATGGGGCCACCCTGGTGAACCCGAGAGATATCTGGAACTGGGAGTGACTTAGAACATCTGCTTCTATACCCTGATTTACAGATAAAGAAAGAGGCCCAGAGAAGTGAGGTGACTCGCTCAAGATCACACAGCTAGTTAGAGGGAGAGCTGAGACCGGAAGCTGGGTTTCGTCTCATAATCTAGGTCCTTCCACCTGCACTATGCTGCCAGGTCCTGGCTCTGAAACTGATCACATTGATGAACGATTTCAACAAACACTTGATGAGACTCCACCATGTGCTGGACACAGAAATAAGTGATACTATGCTAGTCACTCAATATCTAGAGCCAACAGCCACTGTGCCTGCCAAGGAACTCACAGTCTCGTGGGAGATGCCTGGGTTAAGTCTCCCTGCCCCTGGCCCGGACTTAGTTTTAAAGAAATAGGAGTTAGCCTGGTGAACAAGAAGATGATGTGTGCTCCGAAGAGGGCAGCCTGTGGAAGGGCACATGTGGAGAAGGAATGGCACACCTGGCTGGAGTAGTGGGAGATGAGGTTCCTGAGTGTGGCAGGAGAGAGCAGGCATTGGATGCCATGTTAAGACTGAGATGTTTTAAGCAGGGCTGACCTGATACATTTTGAAAATGGGAAAGACCACTCTGGGCATTGTGTGAAGGACAGACTTTCCAACAATCCAAGTAAGAAATGACAGGATCTTAACGTCAAGGGCTGGGAAGGAATGTGGGAATGGGAGACAAGCGAGGGAAGCAGAACTCCCAGGACTTGGGAGGAGTCAACGATGATTCTTGTGTTTCGACTTGGGCAACCAGATGGATGGTGGTGCCATGTACTACGACAGGGAACACTGGAGAAGGAGTACGTTTAAGGAGATGAATTAAATTTGAGACAGCTTGACTTTCAGGTACATCCTCTATGGGACAGCCAAGTGAAAATATTCAGTAAGCAGTGGGATCACTGGGTTTGGAGCTCAAAAGTAAGATGTTAGCTTGGGAGTAATCTATTTCTAGGTGGTAATTAGAGTGAGAGTTGAAAGAACCAGCTGCAAAGAACACAGAGAGTGAAAGGAGCAGAGGCCATGAGAAAGAACGGGGAGAGGAAAAGCTGAACAGAATGAACCTGTCGATGAGGCTTTGAAGGAGTAGTAGCGTGCGCGAGAGGACTGAAACCAGCCAGACCAGCGCTAGAAAAGCCAACGGCAGAGAGAATTTCGGGAAGGAGGCAGAGGGGACGAGTATCAAATGCTATGTTGAGATTAAAAAAAGATGGGACTCAGAGGCCACAGTGGAATTGGCCGTGAGTATGTGACTGCTGACCTTGGAGAGAGGCGTCTGCATTCAGTGGTGCAGTGGAGGCAGAAGCCAGTAAATACAGAACAATCCTTTCCCCTTCCCATCACAGCCAAACTCCTTGACAGGGTGGAGGCTGGTGACGAGGAGCAGGGTGAGGGAGAGTCTCTTTAGGATGAGAATGTCTGCCTGCAACATGGAAAGGAGCCAGGAGAGAAAACGTGCAGAGGGCAAAGACGCGGGAAACAGAGGTAGTCAGGATGGAGCCGACCTAGGAGGGGAGGGGACTAGACGACACCTCTTCCCCCGCAGGTGCAGATTAAAGCTGTCGGAAGGGAAGGAGGGAGAAAGCAAAGGCAACGCCCACCAGCGAGACCAGCATGTTTTCCTCCAACTCCAGGGGCTCCGGCAGCCCCTGTCCATGAAAGGGGCGTTCACTCGCCCCTCCAGAACGAGGCATCCCCAAAGGAATGGCTATGCTTTGCCCCCAGGTTGGCTTTCTGCTGTGAACAAGTACTGTGGGATCTCAGAGGCCATTTGAAGGCCATCTTATCCCACAAGCATCCCCCTAACTTGCTTATCGAGGCCTGACAGTTCCTGAAAGGGGACCTGAGCTACAAAAAAGGACACCACATGGTAATTTACAATGTGGGGCTTACGTCACACATCATGCATCCAGATCAAACACTTAAACATATAGCTCCCATCAGCATAGTTATCTGAAAGCATTTGAAGCAATGTTTTCAAAAACATTCCTCTCCTCTGAAAGCATCTTAGATTCTGATTTGAAATGTCAATGATTATTAACATCCTGTGGCCAAAACAAAACTTGCCCTTGAACAAACACTAAGGACAGCGAATGGAGAGCCGCAAGTTCATCAACACTTGTGCAATGACTGCTGCCTGGTCCCATCTGGTTTTGATAACAGGGAGGGGGCTAAAGAACAGACTGGAAACCCGACAGAGCAGAAGGAGCCTGATGTAGAAAGTAGGGCAGTGGCCAGACACAAACTGCCACGTGGCGGAACAAGGCCCGGGCTCAGGGCTCGCAGCTGCCGTGTGAATGCTTGTGGCGGCAAGACAATCGGCCTTGCCCATCCCCTGGCCTCCTCCCTGCCCCCACGCTTATAAGCAGGACAGCAATGCCTACCAAGCCCGTCCTGCCACAGCTCCCCCTGGCAGGTGTGCCGAGGCAGAGAAGGGACGGGCAAGTGGAAGTGGCGAGCGACTTAGCCCTGTGGCTCCAGGTCTGGGCACCCGTGTCTCACCTCCCCTGTGAATTCTCCAAGGCGAGGCTTCCCCACTGCCCCCCGCCCCCGCCCCACATCGTGTGCGCTGAGCTGAGCTGGGCCGGGCTGGTGGGAGAGGTACCTGAAGGGTTTGCTGTCAGGGTCGGTGTCCTTAAAGCCCATCTCCTCCAGCTTACAGCGGCGGTACAGCTCATAGTGCCGGCTGTGGGTCTGCTCCCGGAGGTCCTCCATGTTGACCCGGATCAGCATCTCCCGCAGCTTCACAAAGTCGCAGTGGGCTTCATTTTCAACTGCATAGCAGCGGTTGGGGTATTGGAAAGTAAGGTCACAAGAAGCAGAAATGGACAAAATGAGACGGCAAATGTCTAACAGTGACATCGCCTTTCAATCTGTGTATATAGAGCTCGCAATTTTGCCTCCTAGTTGGCTTTTCTACTAAAAAGGCAAATGAAAAGTTACAAGAATGACACTAATGGAAAACTGCAATACCACAAAAATATCTAAGAAGACAGTCATTAGCACCTCAACCCCAATTCACCCATCAGACATTCACAGAAACGTTTGCTCTGCACCACTTTTAGGACGATGGCAAATGCACATTCAACCATCCATCTGATAAATACTTGCAGAATTTCTGTTCCCAGGATGGTTGTGAGGCACTGGAAATTCAAACACATGGAGTCTTGCCCGTAGGAGCTTCCGGTTTAGTGGAAGAACATAATACAATGCAAAAATTACCAACATGGAGGTATATAGCCAAGGTGCAACAAAAGCCCAGGAAAGCCCGGGGGCCTGAGAACTCCAGGGAGAGTGAAGGCTTCAACAAAGAGATGACAGACCCCTAAGATGACTCCTGAAGGAAGGCTAAGAATTAATCAGGCAGATAAGGGACTCATCCTTGCAAGATCTCAATGAGGCCAGGCAAGGTTACACAACTAGAAGTCGCAGGGTTAGGATTGCAATCCAGGTCCTCTAAAGGAGAGACAAAGGCTACGACCAGGTGCCAAAGTCCAAAGAGTAAGGGGGAAGAACTAGGACAGCAACAGATGACAGTGACAAGGAAGGATGTGGACCACAGGTGTGGCCCATCTGGATGGGAGAAGCTTCAAAGGAGGTGTTTTTAGAGGGTGGATAATGGCCTGATGGCAGCAATGATGACCAGGACAGAGTGGGCCCCACTTTCCAGCCTGAGTGAACAAGCCCCCTCCTCAAAAGAGTGTGGGAGAAGGTCGTGGGGACAGGGAGGGACACGGGGATGACAGGGTGGGGCAGGGTTGCAGCAGATTGCATTGCGGTCATCAGAGCAATCTTTCCAAAGCCCGAATCAGCTCACATAACCCCTTTGCCTAAGACACACTGCCTCCGGGAGAAAGCCCCTCGCTGTCAGAGAACATATCAGCGTTAAGTCAGGCAGCCCCTCAGGACAATCTCCTCCTGCATCCCTGGAGAGTGGCTCCTGATGGCCAGGCACGAGGAGTGACTCCAAGGCCCTGCAAGGCCCAGACAATGCATGGCTTCTCTCACTCAAACAGAACCACGAACTCTAACTTACAAGAAACACTTGGAAAGCCCCCTTTGTTGGCTGGGTGTGGGGTGGTCTGAATCGGAGTATGTCATTGGGACCACGTCTGCTAGCTTCTCCTCATTTCACCTCAGGTTCCTGTCTCTCAGACTCCAAAATTCACTGCCAGGGTGGGACTGTTGGTCCAGACAGCACTTGCAAATGTTCTGGGAGGAGCATCCCCAGACCCAAATGGTAGAGAAGACCAAAACCTAGCATGGTTCTGATGACCAGCGTTGTCCTTACCCGCAGAAAAGCCAGCTATCGCCGGAGGGTGTCCGGCGTGCCCAGAGCCTGCCAGCCTTTGATGTGATGTGGACAACTTCCCACTAGCTTCTGGTTGTTTGCTCAGTGGCCGGAATGAGTTTACAGTAAACCGGCCACCCTCTCACACACGGTGCCCCTGCCGTCTGCCACCCAGCGTATGGCTGGAGACTCGGAGGACCAGACACCTCGTACACCCATGGCAACGTCCTGGGCCTTATCCACTGAACTGACTAGTACCAAAGGTAACTTACTTAATATGTGTCAGGCAGACCACAAAAGGAAATCTCCTGAGCCCGTAGGCAATACGTCTGTTTTTAATTTGCAAAATAATCATACATACAAAAGAGTGCTTGAAATGTACAATTTAAAGGTTTAAAAAAAAAAAAAAAAAAAAAGAACACCGATGTATCCATGGCCCAGCTGAAACATTACCAGGGCCCTAGAAGTCCCTTTGAGTCCCTGATCTCATGCCTCTCCTTCCCTGCAACAAGACTTAACCACTAGCCTGAGTTGGGGATTTATCCTTCCTTTGTTTTTCTTTATAGTTTTACCACTTATGCATGAATTCCTAAAGTTTAGTTTTATCTACTTTTGGAATCCATATAAATGGAATCATACAGCCTGTCTTCTTCTATGATTTACTCAGCTCAACATTATGTTTCTGAGATGCATTGCTGTAGATGTAACTAAAGTCCATCCATTTTCGTTGCTGAATAATATTGCATTATTTGAACATTCCACAATTCTCCCAATCTATTTTTAATGGCTATCTGGCTTGTTTCTAATTATTTGCTATTATGAACAATGCTGCTGTGGACATTGCTGTCGGTCTCCTGGTACACTCAGGCGAGTACACATGCTTTCTCACACACTCCTTCCTACCCTACTCCAAGTACATTTATTTTTGTTTTAAGAATGCTTTCTCCATTACAGACAAAGAGAGCCTGCTCACCGCACAGAATCCAGGTATGGAGCCAGAGTTTGCCTGCTGGCAACGCCTACGGATGTTTGAGGCCCAAGCTGAATGATTAGAGACTGGGGACAAGTTAGGGACTGGTCACACAGGGGCTGAGGACAAGCAAAGAGACAGAAGGGGATCCCTGAGCACAGCCCCTCTCCTGGAGATTCACTCACCCTGCACCGTGCCCCAGGGATACTGCCGCGCCTTCACCATCTTGTTCCCTATCTTCAGTTCTTCTGTGCTGCCAATGACAGCAAACGGCAGGTGGGCCTGGAACAGGAGGCAGACAAAAGCTCTGAACTCCGGGGAAAGGCACTGAGCGACCCCCAGTTCAGCTGCTGGTCATGGCCGGGGCCTCGGCGCTCCAGCTGCAGTGTCCCTCACTGTCGCCATCATCAAGAGATCTTTCTTAAGCTCCCGAGCTGTGTAGGGAGAATAGGCCTAGTCCAAGCTTCTGCTGTTCAGAAATTCACAGTTGAAGGTAACAAGGACACGGCCAAGTGCGTAGGGAACAAAGACAGTAAATAAGCAGAATAATAAGCAGATACACAGATTAGCCAGCTAGTCAGTCTTCACAGTTGCCGAGGGGAGGAGCCTTTGGAGCGCAGGTGAGTGGGATGAGGGGGGCTGTGTGTGGAGAGAGACTAAAGGAGAACCAAGGGGCTGGGATCACTGCCCCCCCTTCCCGACGTGTGACAGCGCCGAGAATAGGCACATACAGAGACCACACTGCTGACTGAGATGGACGCTCCTTCCCTAGAGCAAGAGCTCGCATTGAGCTCTTGAGCCTAGAAGTCAAGTCCCCAAGTATTTACCCACATGCCCATCCCTGTGCGGGGTTCTGTGTCAGGGGCTGTAAGGGAAGCAAAAGGAGTAGAAGACACACTCTCTCGCCCTCGGGGAGCTTACACTCTGGTTGGGGAAGACTGAATTACATACCCCAGATCACGTAAGACAGAATATGTCCAAGGGCTCAAGTGTATGGTCTGGTGCCCTGCACACAGTAGGTGCTTAATAAATACTCCTTGAATAGCAGTGGCACGACCACAGGAATAGCAGAGGAAAGAAAAGTGCAAACGCTTGCAGGGGAGGCGGGTAACGAGGAGCGAGGCCTGGAGAAGAGGCAGCCGCCCCCATCTGGTAGCGTGGGACCTGGGGCACCGGCACTGCACCCCATTCCACAGGGAGCCGGCCAGGTTATAAGTCTGAGTCACCACCGGCCAAATGGAAGCACTGAATAAATACTGTTTACAAACCAGGTGATCCTGGGTGGAGTTTTAGCCAAAAGGGCTTTACACAGAGAAGGAAAAAGTCCACTGGAACAAGCTTTCTTAGCCTGCTTGGAGAAACAGGCTTCAATCTCAGATATTCTGACCCACTTGCTCACTCATCCAGTCTACAAATATTTACTGAGCTCCTACTATGTGCCAGGCATTAAGAAGAATACAATGCCGAAAAAGCTCAGAGCCTGCCCCTGGCGAGTGCACAGTGTGGTAGGGGAAAGATGCACCAACAGTGATAATACAGTCAAGGTCCAGACTATGAACAGAGGCTTGAGGGCTGGAGGAACTCAGAGGAAGGAGAAGCTAATTCCGTGGGGAGTCAAAGCAGGCTTCACAGAGTAGGTAGTAGCAATCGTACTAACGGGATTGGGAGCTATGGACCTGATATTAGCAGCAGCTCTGTGTCCCACATACCAGGTGCTCTACGTTGCATTATCTCACTGAATCTTTACAACACTAGGAGGTAGGTATTCTTATTATCCCCATTTTACAGAAGAGGAAACTGAAGTCCGGAAGGGCTAAATGACTTGCCAGCAGCCACACCGCAGTAAGAGGCAGAGCTAGGGGTGGAATCCAGGTCTCTCTGACTTCAAAGCCCACCCCTGCTGGTCTACCACTCCCTTTTGCGGGGTTCGAGCAGCAGATGAGGGGAACACTCTAAACCCCGGGGGCGAACTGGCCATGCAAGGCCAGATTGTAAGAGGCAGTTGAAATCTGATCTCACAGCCAATCCTTCCTTTCCATTCTCCTCTAACTCTGCACCCCAAGAATGTTCTTCAGAGTGGAGGAACACAGGCGTCAGTCGGGAGCTCAGCCTCAGGACACCTGCTAACCCCCCGAGGTGCTTGGCCATCCAGCTGGAGCAGCTCCCCCTTCACCCCCTCTCAGCTGCTCTCCAATGATCATCTCAGGTGTTCCCACTTCAACGACTGTCCCCGAAGTGCAGACAGAGGACAGAGGGAAAGATGAGGTTATGGATATGGAAGGTGGGTGATGGGTGGAGGTGGGAAATGTTTCATCAGTCCTAGTAGGGGACCGATCACGAGGGTCACTGGGCGTGCGACATATGGAGCATGGGGTGGGGGGCAATGAAATCCTGAAAACTCTGCCTAAGTGCCAGAGCGTCTGTGACCTCTGCCAGCTGGCTTTGCAGGGGGGGTCATCTGGACACAACTCATTCCCCCTCAGAGACCCAAGACACATCGGGAGCCTCAAACCCACCCCCAAACACTCTCAAGGAAAAGGCTGCCCCTCCTGCAGACAGCCTAAAGCTTCAGTCACACGAAGGGGCAGCCATGGCAGAGGGTGAGACCGAGGGAGGAGATGTTGCATCATTCTCACGCATCCTGGGCTCTCGGCTGAAAGTGATGGACGAGGAGGGCATGTGAGGTGGGAAGCAGTCCTCTGGGCTTAAGAGCAAAAAAAGAAAAAAAACAAAATCCAAGAAGAGAAGAAAGGCATTAAAAAATGTCAGTACTCCCGTGGGACTGTTATTCTTATCTCCAAAAGACATTGTTAGTTAGACTGCCAGGGTCACTTACTTTCCCTCCTCCTTAAACTGCTGTCATTTTATCGCTCCCCGCTCTAAAACACACAGCCCCTGCCACGGCAGCTCCAGAGGGCTCCCGAGGCCTCCCACACACACTCCTTTGCAACTGGCATCAAAGTCTGTTCTGATAAGTATATGCAAGGATATCATTTCCGAGTGCTCCCAGGCAGATTTCATTTGATTCTACAACAGGCTTACAGGGCGGTTAGTATAAACCCCATGCGTGATTTGGAAAACTGGTGCAGAGAAGTTAACCGAGTTGCCCAGGTCCCTAAGTCCCGTGCCCAGATCTTCCCAGGGAGCAGTGAGGACACCACGCTGTGGCTGCCAGCCTCTCCCAACCACCCAGGGCTGGAAGTCAGCTCAGCTCTAACCATGAAGGACAGGAAATCATGGGGCCAGCTCTCGCCCTCTTTCTGCTGCTCTTGAGACACTGATGGCTCTGAAAACCAGAACAGAGTCGAGCAGAGCAGGGAGAAGGTAAACCCTCCAACCAACCCCCCCTCCAGGGCTGACACTTTGTATGTGTGGGCCCAGGGAGGAGAGGGAAGATGCAAGACGGCGCAGCTGCTGAAACCTGGACAGGTTCCTAAGGGGACTCCGTGTTACCCTCTCTCGCCCAAGAGACCTCGGATGCCCCAGTCTCAGAAAACTCCACCAGGAGATAGTCCCAAGCCTCCTCCCGGGAGTCTGTTCCCAGACTCACTACCTTTGCAGCCTCATATGTACCTTAAATTCCTCTCGGTACATTTTAAAGTGTTTTGATGATCCAACTGGCATGATGATTGTATTCTGGTTCCATGACACCCACTCTACTAAGGAGGTTAGATGACCATCCCCCTAAGCCTCGTGAAATAGAGTGTCAGGACCACCCTTTATCTCTCATCTGATAATATCCCGAATGGGTGTGGTTTCCTCCCAGGGGGACAGTATTTCCCAGTCGTTCTGCCGGTTATGCTGGCCTCCATCCTAGGCTCCTACCAGTGACCGAGAATTGTCTGATTCTCTCAAGTCAACCCTTGGTGGTGATGCCCACAAAAGTATGTGCCAACAATGGAAACGGCACTGCTGCCTCAGGAGGAGACAGGCTTGTGCCTATGGGTCTCCCTGTGACCCTCCCAGTCACCGATGCGCTCTCACTGGGCCCAAATGCCTTTGCGGGGGCCAAACCCAAGACCTCACAGGCAGCCAACTGACTGAGCCGAGTCGAGTAACTGGGCCTAGTCCCTGGTCCCTGGCCATGATTTGAAGCATTCAAAGAACAACATTCGATCTGAACCACATAGCAATTTTAAGCATTAAAATCTACAACCTTGAGAGCTCTCAGAGCATAGGTGGAAAGGAGCATGCAACAAGACCTCTCCCTCCCTTCTCTTTCCCCTCAAGCTGAAATAAGGGTTTTCAGAGCCACCCAGAAGCCCAGGGGAAGGCTAGACCTCACGACTCTCATTTCCTGCCATGAAAATCCCTAGTGGGGAGCTGCAGGATGACTGGTGGCTCTTCTGCGCTTGGGCAAGAGGCTTCTCCCCCTCTTCCAATCCAGTTCCCATGACAATTGGCTGGGGTGGCCGAGGCTGTGAGGCTGGAGTCAAATTCAGAATTGAAAGGCCAGCACCCATTCCTCCTACCAGCCAAGCCCAGCTCTCTGATGATGCAGCTTCATACGCACGGATTGTCCGAAGACCCAGTTTGACACAGTTGCTCCAGTGGCAGGCAGGCTCAGCAATCCTGTGTATATATTTTATAGCAGCAACTCCCCACCCTCCCCCCATCACAACACATGTAACACACAGTGTTCACATGCATGCCCCCTCCCATGCACATGCCCAGTTCAGGCACACTAGCTGTGAGCCACCCGTCTTTCCCACTCAAAAAAGCCTGGGGGAACGCAAGGGAATGAGTGCTGAGTGATGCTGTTATAGGGATAACCCGGAATCCACTCAAATTTAGTTTTTCAAAGTGAAACACTGGACTAATGTAAGAAAGGACCCAGAACCCCTTCACAGCCAAAACAGCATGGTTGAGGACTGCTACTTCGTAGCACGGGAAGTTTCTGACCTTGAGGCCAAGGCTGCCCGAGCTCCAAGCAAGGGCCCAGAGCTAAGTCGAGAGCAGAGCCCAACGTGATTGCCACTCCTGACCCACAATGCAGCCAGAGGTTGTTTTGTGTGATGCCCTGAGATTGCTGAGGACTCTTCGCCCCTATCTGTCCTTAGCAAAGCAAACCACAAGCCTGAAAGCTGGCCTAGTGACTTATGGAATCCACGTTCAGAAGGTATCTGTGGGGCCTGCTGTTCTGAGGTGACTAGGCACTTCCAGACATCAGTGCCTGATGACGCTTCTCTCTAGGCTCCAATTTTCTTGCAGACTAGGCACCCTTTCAGGTTTTCTCATCATGACAGAAGCTAGTTTCCATCAAAACGCCCTGACAGCTGGAGAGGATAAACACTAATCTTTTTTTTTTGGTTTTTTTAATGCTCATGACCAGTCAGAGAGGCTACAACTCCACCTCCCACAATCCACACAGCTCTACCCTTGGGCCAGATTTCTGTCAAAGATGATGAGGGACCTCTCATCACAAACATATCTCGGGTGTATTGATGGGCAGGAAGTCAGGCGAGACAGTGACTTGCGGCCCCGCTATGTTAATTTATTGGCCGAATCATAGGAGGTGGCAGCTGATGCTCTAATGATAACTTAGGGGGTGGCGGCAGCAGGAAAGTTTTCTAAAAATGGCTTTTATTACAAGGCTTTCCTGAGTTTGGCTATAACCAGGCATTATGTCATTAGGAAAAACTGATGCCTCTCAACAGAGAAAAAGAAATCTGTTCTCAAAGCAGAGGCTTTCTGCAAGCTATTATCTGTCTCCTTGAAATCACAACATTGAAGATTTCGCAGCAACAGCATCAACACATTGTAAAGAAGGGGGAGTGGGGGAGTGAGAGGAAAGATGGCAAGCGGTTGGTTGTGTTTTTTTTCTTCAATTCATTCACACTTAATAAAGCAAAGCGTAACCCTGAAAATTAAAAATAACATTTCTCTAGTCACCAGAAAAATTGGAAGCTACATGTCCCGGGGCAAAGGGCTTGATTATCTGAGTACAGATTAGCCTCGAGTCTCCAAAGCCAGCCAGCTTTTTCAGCTTTGCCTTCTTTCGCCGCATCAATTGGGTCAGAGACAAAGACCGTTTGCCTTTCCGGCAGTCCCATGGGGGCTGCCTGGCCTAGACCAGTGTGGCATCAGAGAGGAGGGTGGAAGGAGAGGTCTGAATCCCCTGGAGTCAGTCGTTCCCTCCCTCAGTCTCTGGCTATTAATCTCTGCGTCTCTGAGGAGAGAGGAGCTGTTTGCTTCTGGATTCTTTCTCACAAATACCTGAGACTTGGATAATGAAAGCTGACTACACTAAGATGGATGGTGATGTTTGACTGCTATTTGGTAAAATAATAATCATTAAGAGCAAATGGCCAGAAAGTTGAAGCCCTATACTCCCCACTCACGTTCATGGTTCCGTTGATCTCTGCCACCAACTCATCATCTGTAGGGAACTGGTAGATCTGGACTCCATTGCTGACAAGCTCACTGGTGATTTTGATTTTGAACTTCGTTAGCTCACTCTTAGAAATGGCATCTGATTTGGCAATGATGGGGATGATGTTTACCTAGAGAAGGGTGGAGCAAAGCGGCATCATTGTTGGTAATCTGCAGCTGATAGCAGCATGACCTAGGGCTTCTACCAGCTGCCAGAGGGAGCAGCTCAACGCAATCGTCCAGGACTGGCCACCTCCATGGCCAAACAGCAATATAATATACGACAATGAGTGCTTACTGTTTGCTGGGCACTGAACTAAGTGCTTTACAAGGATTAACACAATTAACCCTGACAAAAAACCCTCCCAGGAGGTATTAGTACCACAATGAGAAACTTGAGGCACAGAGAGGCTAAGTAGCTTGTCCAAGGACACAGAGCAGGTAAGTAACAGAACTGGGACCCAGATCCAAGTTTAGCCTTATTCCTAAGTCCACAGTCTTAACCTGCCAGCTCAGATCCAAACTGATGAGCTATGTGATATCTTAATATCAAGGTCACTGCTTGGGCGATTTGAAGCAGAAAGATGAGAGTTGGGAATCGACAGTGGACAAGGGGAGAGGTGGCAACTCCTTGCTAACAGTAAATTGTCCCAGCCCATCAGCGCAGGCTAGCCCCAGCCAGTATGAAAGGAACCACATGCAAAGGGAAGAAGGGCAGGGCTCTCTGAAGATGCACACCTGGCCCTCTTTCTGGCAGCAAACACTGATGAACCAACCCACTTACGTGAAGACGACCCTGTGTTACCAATTTGATCTGAGACTTAGCCAAAAAGAGTTATACTGCTGGATTCTCATGATTAATTTCTGCATAAAGAAAGCAGGTACAGGGCTTCCCTGGTGGCACAGTGGTTGGGAGTCCGCCTGCCGATACAGGGGACACGGGTTCGTGCCCCAGTCCGGGAGGATCCCACATGCCGCAGAGCGGCTGGGCCCGTGAGCCATGGCCGCTGAGCCTGCACGTCCGGAGCCTGTACTCCGCAACGGGAGAGGCCACGGCAGTGAGGGGCCCGCGTACCACACACACAAAAAAGAAAGCAGGTACAAATGCCCAATTTTGGACAGCAGGAGAAAGGACTAATGCTACCCAAAGTTCAATCCACCTGAACCTCAATCCTTGAAATACCTCCAAGAAGTGACAAGGCTTTTACTGCCGGAGGGTAAAGAAACTTACATGCCTGAGTGAGACACAGCACAGCTAACCTCAAGTTCACACAGAAAGCACAGCTGGTCCTGCCAGCAGACTCCAATGGGCTGGCATGGATGGTACTTGGGCCCTGAAAAGAGCTCTAGACTTAAAACAAATTCCACCTCCTTTGATCTTTGCCTAAGGAGCGTCTCTCAAGGCTGACACTGCAGCTTCAGGTGCTGGTCAAAGAAACACTGGACCTTGGAGGCACCTCCCCTTAAAGCCTTGGGGCATGGGGACCGAAGCCCTTGGCAAGGTGGCAACACTTTTCGCCACATCCCCCATTGGCACGTTGTAAACACAGGCCTACCTAACTCAGCTCCTCCGCCAGGCCGCCAGCCGCATCACTCTGCTGCCCTCTTCAAGACATGCAGGATGTGGCGACATTTCCCAAGCGGCCCGTTACTCGTGGGCAGTGAACTCACTGCTGTGAAAAACGAAAAACTGCTCCTATTTTGATGCTAGCTGACCCTCTGTTTTTATAGTGAACGTGCTACTAAACAACTGCATATAAAGTAGATTTTTTTTGTAAAATAAATTCCCTGGAGTCAGAGAGAGCTCGGTCTAAATCCCAGACCCATTACAAGTTGTCTGACCTGGAGCAAGCTACTTACTTGACTGTGCCTCAGTTTCCTCCTGTGTAAAATGGGGATAATAATAGTACCCACCACACTGGATTATTGGAAGGATGAAATAAAAACAATGCCTATAAAGTACTCATCACAGTGCCAGACACATATGAAATGTTAGGGGAGGAAACGTACTAGTAATTAGGCTTTTTAAAGAATCCTGTGGTCGGGCTTCCCTGGTGGCGCAGCGGTTGAGAGTCCACCTGCTGATGCAGGGGACATGGGTTCGTGCCCCGGTCCGCGAAGATCCCACATGCCGCGGAGCGGCTGGGCCCGTGAGCCACGTGACGCTGGGCCTGCGCGTCCAGAGCCTGTGCTCCGCAACGGGAGAGGCCACAACAGTGAGAGGCCCACGTACCGCAAAAAAAAAAAAAAAGAAAGAAAGAAAAAAAAAGAATCCTGTGGTCGACTCTTTTGCACAGCCAATAATCCTTTCACATGAAGAATCACTGTCTAATTTATATCGGATGTGGGACTTGCATTTTTCAGTTTATCTTAAAGCAGGATGTGCTTGATTCCCACAGTCATCTTCCTTGGGTATGGAGGCAATATAACCTGGTGCCACAGATCTGAGTTCAAATCTAGGCTCTGCCAGGAGCTGGCTATATATATATGACAATGGGCATGTCACTTAACCTCTTAGAGCCTCAGTTTTCTCTTCTATAAAATGGGAGGTAATGATAGTGTTTGCCTTACCGAGTTGTTGTGAGGATTCAATGAGATACTCCATGAGGTACTTTTACAGTGGTGACATATAATAAGGGTTTAAAAAATATTAGCTGCTATGATAAAATTATTATTGATAATAAGAATAGTAACTTTTGAAGTCAAGTTTGCATGTTTGATTCTAGTAAAGGTCAGTTAACATCAGGACAAAGGAAAAACACCTTTGCATCGCCAAAGCCTAAGGCCCTAGACCCAGACAGCCGTCTTGCTTGCATCCACCTTTATTCCCAGGAGGGATCAGGGCAGAAAGCTCAGGGAAGACTCATGCCCAGTGCTGGGAAAACATCACAAAGCATACAGCTCAGGTGCTGGGTCAATTAACATCATCTTTATGGAGGGACAGGGAATGAAGGGGAGGATGAAGATGCCACAAAACCTCTCCTGAGCTCTGGCATCTGCATTGCACAAGAGACCAGCAGGAGGGAGCCCAGCTTGCCCTGCCTCCCGCCTGCCCTCGTCCCTGCCTCCCAGGCCTCGGTACCTTACTGTCCAGCTTCTTCATCGTCACTAGGTCCAGAGACTTCAAGGAATGCCCCGTGGGGGCAATGAAGTACAAGCAGGCGTGGATGCGGGAATCATGGTAATTGTGCAGTAACCTGCGAATCTTCAGCTCCTCCTGCAGGTAGGCCTCAAATTGGGCGTCGATGAATTCCACAATGGGCTTGTAGCTAAAGGACAGAGTAGGGAAACGGCCAGACCACTTCAAAAAGCTGGATTTTGATAGGCTTCGAAACTCTTTTAGAAGTTGAAAATGTCCTTGGTAATCCGACTCTCCCCATCCAGCTGGATTTCTCCATCTCCTCTCAGTGGGCCTCCAACTCCATCAGACTGGCCACCTCTTTGGTCCCCACGTGAGCCAACCATATGCCCATCGGTGCGCTTTCTCTCTAGAATGTGCACTTCTCGCTTCTCATCCCAATCCTGCCCTCCCAGGCCTCAGGGCTCGGATGAATGCCCATCTCCTCCACAATTCCCCAGTTATGCCAGAAATCCCTTCTGTGACCCAGGAGTGTAAAAAAGAATTATGCTATTGGATCGCTTACTGTTGCTTCACAAGGATTAGTGTTCCCTCAAACAGACTGTGTCCTTGTGAAGGGCAGGGACAGTGAAGGGCCCTTCTCTGCCCCCATGGGGCCCCGATGCAGTGTGGAGCCCACTGGCAGTACCTGTGGATGGGCTGACTGCACACCAGGCTGGGCTCATGTCTCCGCTTCCTGTGTCTCCCCCACAGTGCCTAATACTCAAGCTGGTACCCAGTGGTGGTCAGGACCTCCCCTTGACCCATTGCTGGGAAATCTTCCAGAACACAGTGGGTTCTGCTCAATCTTCCTGGGTTCGAGGCGCTCCCCACTTGGCTCCCCTAAGGTCCAGATATTTTTCCAGTTCTCATTTCCTCTAAGGTCGTGACTTTAAAATCTACGTATTCGGACAAAATTTGGTAAAGACAGTCCCGCCTGCACAACCTTAACACATGTGCACGCGCGCGCGCACACACACACACACACACACACACACACACACACACACACACCACACGCCCCACCCCCCAGCTCACTAAGTCTCCAGGCACGGCGCTCCCGTGTGGCTCCAAGTCTTGCCGGGAGTCTCCTCTCTGTCCTGGGAAGCTTCTCTGTTCTCTCCCAGGCCATTCCTGCCACCCCTGAAGCCTCTTCCTGCTCTAGCTAGGTCATCTTAGCCTCCGCCCTGCCTCTGTTCTCATCTCCCTGTCTGTCCGCTTCCCCTCCCTCCAGGGCTTCTCCCTTCAAGCTAGAAGAGGTTTAGCATCCGGCCCGGGACAGGGAGTCTGCAGAGACCACTGCAGGAAGGGAACACGATTGAAGGAGGAGCAGCAGCTCCCACCCTGAGCCTTTTTGAAAGATCCCCCTAGTAGAGAAGGCAAAAGAGCTTTTTTAAAAAGAATCACAGAATTCTAGATTCTGAGAGCTACATACAGAGAGAGCCAGATGCTGGGGACCTCTGGAGTCTCAGAGAAAAATCTAAAAATATAGTCCTTTCTTTTTCCTTTGATCCCTATGAGCCAAACATTGTTCTGAAGGGTAAGAGCATCAAAGAACCTGTTGGTTGCAGAGATCCTTAGAAGGTTCCTGAAGAATTAGGAGTGGGGGCGGGGGGATACATCCCTTAGGTTTATCCAATTAATTTTCAGGTGACAGGCTCACTTGAGTGATCTAATTATGGCACTGCTACATTTTTTCCCTCCATTACATAACTTTTTTACTTCGTTTTTTTTTTTTTTTTTTGCGGTACGCGGGCCTCTCACTGTTGTGGCCTCTCCCGTTGCGGAGCACAGGCTCCGGACGCGCAGGCTCAGAGGCCATGGCTCACGGGCCCAGCCGCTCCGCGGCATGTGGGATCTTCCCGGACCAGGGCACGAACCCACGTCCCCTGCATCGGCAGGCGGACTCTCAACCACTGCGCCACCAGGGAAGCCCCTGGACCATCTTTTGTTGTCATTCTACACATCACATGCCCGTTAGCCCTGTGTGGTCCTGGTCACTCCCATGGCCTCAGTTATCACTGTCTCCTATCCGCTTCCTAGACACCCGGAAGTCATCCCAGTCTCCTTCTCCCACGTGCCAGTCCTCAGTGCAAACGCACCTGTCAGAAGCTCCCCTGCTGGAAACCCAGAAGGCCTGGTCACAGACATTATACTTGAACAGCACCATCTCAGACATCAAAGCCAAGATACCATAAGGTCAGGTCTACTGGAACAGTGCCCAGAGTGACAACAGCTAATCTACTCCATCCTTCCAGTCACCTCTTCCCTCTATGCTCACTGCTATTCCACTCTCTCCTCATGGACTCATCACCCCTCAAAAACATGTCCACTGTGCCCTCTGAAACCCCTGAACCATGGTAAACAAAAGTGCCTACCTCTTTGCCACTCAGAGTGTGATCCTTGGATAGGCAGCACTATGGTCACCTGAAAGCTTGTTACAAATCCAGACTCTCCGGTCCCCAAACCAGACCTACAGGAGCAGAATCTACGTCTTATTAAGAGCCTCAGTGGCTTGTATGCAACTTTAAAGTTTGAGAAGTGCTGGCCTTACCTCTTCACGCTACTGGTAACCTAATTCTCCTCTGAGGACCCTGCAACCCTGAGGACCCCATTGCCTGGCAGCCCCCTCCTATGTAGGCTTCTTTTTTTTTTTGGCTGTGTTGGGTCTTCGTTGCTGCGTGCGGGCTTTCTCTAGTTGTGGCGAGCGGGGGCTACTCTTCGTTGCAGTGCGCGGGCTTCTCAATGCAGTGGTTTCTCTTGTTGTGGAACACGGGCTCTAGGCGCGCGGGCTTCAGTAGTTGTGGCACACAGGCTCAGTAGTTGTGGCTCGCGGGCTCTAGAGCACAGGCTCAGTAGTTGTGGTGCACAGGCTTAGGTGCTCCGCAGCATGTGGGACCTTCCCGGACCAGGGCTCGGACCCGTGTCCCCTGCATCGGCAGGCGGATTCTTAACCACTGCGCCACCAGGGAAGTCCCCTGTGTAGGCTTCTTATTCTCCCACAACCTGTGTACGTTGGGCTCAGTGTGTGGGCATTCAGGCAGCCCCTCAGCGCCACTTCTAGGGCGTTACTCCTCTACCTCAGTGTAAAAAACTTTCTCCGTTTGAGGCCTGTTCCATCCTCTTCTGGCGGTGCCTGACCCCGTCTTTCTCCCTGTGCTGGTGACTGCACTGTGCTTGAGGACAGGCCATCAACCTTCAGCCTCTTTATTCCTTGATCGCCTGAACTTCGCCAACCTCCAGCTCCCTCTACTTCAGCCACCTACACATCATACCATTCGCTAGGCCAGCTTCACCCAAGACAGCTTCTAACACCCCACTATCTGAGCACCACTGCACAACTTGCCAGCTCTCCTTCAGTCTGCCTAAACCTGACCTTTCACCTCACAGAATCCTCTGGTACCTTGACCTCTCCATTATCTCACAGGGTATCAACCCCCTCCTGGCCTCATCTCCTTCTCAGCCCAGGCTGACCCCCATAACTGATTGTCCAAAACACTCTTTTATCAACTCATCTCCCACCACACCCCTGCTTTCTACCCTCCTTGCCTAGCAAAACTGCTGGGCTGAATAAATTTCAGGATCTGCTTTCTGCTCCTACACCACTGCTGCTGAAGTTGACTCGAAGCAATCACAAAATGTTGTTGGGTCTTGGGGACTTCCCTGGTGGTCCAATGGGTAAGGCTCTGCGCTACCAATGCAGGGGGCCCGGGTTCGATCCCTGGTCAGGGAACTAGATCCCACGTGCATGCCACAACTAAAACCCAAGGCTGCCAAAATAAATAAATAAATAAATATTAAACAAACAAACAAACAAAAAAACTTTGGGTCTTGGTACCCAAATTCCTGGCCTCCAACCTCACATAGGCCTTTAAAACAACATGACAGTCCTTTTGCCCAGCCTTGATTGGCTCCATTCCTACTGCTTTCATTGACCATGCCAAACTTTCAACACTTTCCTCAAGCTCCAGAACTTATTCATGACCCCTTCCCTCTCACAAGACGGTATTACCTTCTACTTTATCAACACAGTCAAGGTCACCAGGCTCACACTACCCCAACCCACCTCACTCCCTCCCCTTCCCTGTTCCCCTCTGGTCTCTGAGGATGAAGGGTCCCACATCCTGTTCAAGGTCCACCGTCCCTTGTGTACTTGATCTTATCCCTTTCAGCCTCTTTGAGAACCTGGCTTCATCTATCAGCTCCTCACCTACTACTGACTACTCCCTCCCTGCAACGTATAAACAGGCTAAAGTCTTCCCTCATCACAAAAAAAAAAAGAAGATCTGGGCTTCCCAGGTGGCGCAGTGGTTGAGAGTCCGCCTGCCGATGCTAGGGGACACGGGTTCGTGCCCTGGTCCGGGAAGATCCCACATGCTGCGGAGCGGCTGGGCCCGTGAGCCATGGCCGTTGAGCCTGCGCATCCGGAGCCTGTGCTCTGCAACGGGAGAGGCCACAACAGTGAGAGGCCCGCGTACCGCAAAAAAAAAAAAAAAAAAAAAAGATCTTTCCACAGCCCAGTCCTCCTCAACCACACATTTCTCCCCAACTACTGCCCTGTGTCTTTTCTTCCCTTAGTCAAGTTTCTTTTCTGCACCTACCACAGGGTCTGGCATATAATAGGTGCCCAATAAATATTTAATGCGTGGATAGAGATTTTTTTTGGAAAGAATAATCTATTCATTTATTTATTTTTACTTCTCATTCATTCCTCAACGCACTGTAGACTGTTTTCCACCCTCACCAGCATCCTAGTTGAAACCTTAGATGGATACTTTGGGGGCTTTTTTGTTGTTGTTGTTTGAAGTATAGTTGATCTACAATGTTGTGTTAGTTTCAGGTGTACAGCAAAGTGATGCAGTTATACTGTATATCTTCTTTTTCAGATTCTTTTCCATAATAGGTTATTACAAGATATTGAACATAGTTCCCTGTGCTATACAGTAGGTCCTTGTTGTTTATTTTGTCTATAGTAGTGTGTATCTGTTAATCCCAACCTCCTAATTTATCCCTCCCCCGCTTCCCCCTCTGGTAACCATAAGTTTGTTTTCTATGTCTGTGGGTTGGATACTTTTGGTCTTAAATGATGAAAAGTTAGAGGTGTTTATTTTCTTTTTCCCATCAATGTATATATCATTCATTCATTCAACA